ATATATATATATATATATATATATATATATATATATATATATATATATATATATATATATATATATATATATATATATATATATATATATATATATATATCATTTTGTTTGTTACAATTAAAATAGTATTAAAAAAATGTCTAATGTATTTTTATTTAATATTTTTTTGCATTTTATTTGTAAAGATTAAATATTATTCAATTTATTTTTAGTATACTAAATATTATTAAAAAAAATTAATTATAAATAATACTTTAAAATTTTAAATATTGCCAAAAACAATTTTAAATTTCAATTCTTCCCCAAAAAAAGTGTTTTCCGTAAGATGTGACGTACACGTGACAGAGGGAAACAATTGAACCTTGGAGGTGAAACTTGTTCACTTTAAAATAAGAGGGACAAAAAGTGGAGTCGGGCCACACATGAGGGACGAAAAGTGTAATTCTGCCAAAAAAATATTAATGACAAAATGTAAAATACATTAAAAATAACGGACTTATTAAAAAACAAATGGTGTTAACGTTTTTAATGTTGACCACAAAACAAATGTGGATTATTTTGGCTCATTTTGAAGTTTAACGGGCATATTATACGTTCAGTATAGTTCAGGTAGATAAAATGAATTGTACTCTAAAATAATTAACAAAATAGTTAATATTATATAATTGTAAAATTTAGATGTTATGATTGGAATATGTGATTAAAAAAATAGAAAATATATCTTCATATCATATCCATTAAGTAATTGTATATGTATAACTTAATAGACTTATATGCATGAACGTAATTCTTTATAAACAATGTGATGCGGAATGTCATACTGGATTAAAATTGCAAGATAACTATTTAATTTAGAGAAAGATTGATAATATGCATTGGTGGAAATATCGAAAGAAATTATGGAAAATAAGGATTTTTTTACGAACTCAAATAGTATTTGAGTGCGAAACGGTCTGAAGTGAAACGGCCTAGTGAACAAATCTCATGACTCACGTCAGATTTTAGCAATCCAACGTCGTGTAGACTCCTAAAAGTTCGTTTTTGCCTTTTTAGAAAAGTTTTAGAAAATTAATATCAAATCGTATTAGGATTCCATAAATTAGATTGTTCTCAAAATTACGAGATCTACTAAAATTAAGCTCTGACTCGATTTTGCCATTTTTGGCAATTTTAGGATTTCGCTAGTTTAATTAGAATTTTCAGTTTTATTATTATAAATATATGCCTTAGGACTTTATTTTGGAAATAATTTTGAATTTTAATAAAAAAACGTTTAGAGTTTTCGGTAGATTTCAAATGTTCTTTTGTCCTATTGGATTTATTCATATAAATTATTTCTTTATTGTGCTTTTGTTATGCGTTAGTTGGTATCAAAGCCATATTTTTCCTGGTTATATGGTGAAAGGCGCGAAACATGGAAACAACAACTGTGTTGTCGATGACTATAGTGTTGCAAAACTACAACAACTTCGGTTGGTGCACAAGGGATTTGCCCTTGGCACATCAACAACAGGAGGACTGAATCTAACATGGCGATTGTCGACAGTGTAGTCCGAGGTGCATATGTTAGACACAATTATCATGGACTTGTTCAACGTCAATCAAGGGGTGAAAACTATTCAAATGGGAGAGACAGATAAATCCACTTATAAGGAGACAAAAAATTCGTAATAAATATTGGGTAAGAGCTAAAGATGTGAGTTAAAGGGTAGTGTAAATCCACTTATCAGAAGTCAAGAGGTATTTCAAATTGATGGATATTTCATCGAATAAGATTGTGATATTGGTAACATGTGAGTTAAAGGGTAGTGTAACCGTATGGTGGGATCAGATACAGTTGAAGAGAGCTAGACAAGAAAAGTATTCAATCCAATCATGGAGGAGGATGAGAGAAATGTTGATGGGTCGTTTCTTACCTCTAGATCATGAGCAACATCTATTTCAACTATATCGTAATTGCTTGCAACGAAGTGGATCAGTTAACAAGTATACTGCTGAATTTATAAAACTAGCAGACTTAAAAAACTTGCAGGAATCTGAAAACATGTAAACTTCGAGGTACTTGAAAAGATTGAATGCTTCAATTCGTGGATGGATGAGATCGAATAATTTTATACGCTCAAGGAGGCTCACAGTTTAGCATGAAGAGAGGAACTTTTTGAGAAGCGAAATCATTATTATAGGCAAACTGAAGTTCTTTCACGAGTTATCAATGTGAAGGAGGTACAAGATAATGTTTTCTTTGTTCAATCACTTAATTTAGTAGAGAATGCAGATGTAGGAGTTGACGAAATTGAAGAAGAAATTGTTGATGAGGTAAAAATTAGGGTTAGTGTGGTTAGCGAGGACATCAATGACTATAAAGAGAATGATAGCGAAGTTGAGGAGAGTGTGAACAAGGTAGAAGAGAGCGTTAGCAAAGTTGAAGAGGAAGTCTATAAGGGTATATGAAATTCGATGAAGTGTCTGAATTCGCAAAATTTGAACAAGAAGAGGAGTAGCAAATGCATTGTGTGAAGGTATGTGATCTATGCAGATAGTGGTAGTTGTTATATTTTTGTATTAGATAAATTATTGGAGCCAGTGGAGTTATCGACGGATAAATATTTTTTTCTAATGACTCGTTTGGAGGAAGGTTTTGTAGGTGATATTTTTGAGCAGCGAAATTGGGGGAGTACTTGAAGTTGTTTGCAGAAAAAAACGCGCATCGTTATATTTTAGTCATAGCTCGAGGTCGAGCTCTTTTAAAGAAGAGCAGATTGATGCTGAACGTCAAACTGGATTAGAATTGTAAGATAATTTTAATTCGGAGAAGGATTATTAATAGGAATTATTGGAAATATCGAAATAAATTATGGGAATATAAGGATTTTCTACGAACTCAAATTGTATTTGAGTGCGAAACGAACTCTATCTGAAGTGAAACCCCTAGGAACAAATCTCATGAGCAAAACTCATGAATCACGTCAGATTTCAGCAATCCAATGTCGTTTAGACTCCTAAATGTTTGTTTTTGCCACTTAATTAGCAAAGTTTGAGAAAATTAATATCAAATCGTAGAAACTTGGATTAGGATTCCGTAAATTGGGTTGTTGCCAAATTATGAGATCTAATAAAATCAGGCTCCAACTCATTTTCGCCGTTTTAGGCAATTTTAGTATTTACGAATTTTGATAAATTTTGTACAATGTTGTCTATTTTCTGGTGGATCTAGAGTTTTCAGAATGTTCTTTTGTTCTATAGGATTAATTTGTAGAAATTAATTCTTTATTGTGCACTTCCGTTCTACGTTATAATGTTTACCCTCTTTTTAAGATGGGCAAATGGTATATAGGCCTATGAAAAGGGCACTTAATTGAAAAAAAAAACATTCAACTTTTTTGTCTTCCAAATAAATCCAGCTCATTCAAACTTATTTGCAATGTTTTGAAAAATGGACCGGACATAGAACCGGCTAGCCAACGGGTCACGGTTGAACCGGTTCAATCGGGGTTCGACCGAGTTTTTTGATATTTTCCATTTTTAATTATTTGTGAATAATTATAATATTATGATCTTTTATAAGTGTATTTTAATAAATTTATTCATCATTAAACTTATATTCAAGAGTTATAAATTAATTTATTTACGGTAAATAATTTATGGTTATATTATATTAACATTTTCCAAAAAAAATATTTATACTTCATTTTATATTTCCATTTTTGTGTTTTATATTTAGTTAAGGGCGAATGGCAAAAAAGCTCATCACATGGGACTTAAATGCATTTTGGAAAAAAAAAAAACAGTCTATAAATTAAACACATCCCCATGTCTTTAGTCTAAAATACCCTCCATAATATAATTCTTATCAATTCCACCTATTATGCTATAAGTTTCTTAATATTACACATTGACCCCGGATTTAAACAAATATATCACATTAACCCCCCAAATCTTTTTTTTTTCAGAAAATAATTTTTTTTCTGAAATGTTTTTTTTCCAGTCAGATTCCAGCGTTGACTTTTTTTTTTTTTTTTCTTTTTTCGAAAACTTTTTTTTTTCCTGAAATTTTTTTACGGCCGGTCAACCACCGTTGACCGCCGATCTCCGGCGTTGACTTTTTTTTTTTTTTCTTATAAAAAAAATATTTTAATTAATATTACAGTCTTGGCTACTAAATTACTATCTCAGACAATAATATTACTGTTTGGGACAGTAATATTATGAATATTATTTTCCCGAACAGTAATATTATTAATATTATTGTGTAAGACAGTTAAATTACTGTTGGAGACAGTAATTTAGCATCCAAGGCAGTAATATTAATTTAAATTAATGTTAAAAAAAAAGTCAATTAACAGTTAAATAACTGCTGGAGATATTAATTTAGCAACGAATACAGTAATATTAATTAAAAATATTTTTTTTAAGAATAAAAAAGTCAATTAACAGTTAAATTACTGTCTCCAGCAGTTAAATAACTGCTGGAGACAGTAATTTAGCAACGAATACAGTAATATTAATTAAAATATTTTTGAAGAAAAAAAAAAGTCAATTAACAGTTAAATTACTGTCTCCGACAGTTAAATAACTGC